GCTGCCTACACATCCACTTCATGAGTTGATTGTTACTAAAAGAGCTACGAGGGGAATGGTATCCACTCTATACTTATACTTGCTTGAGCCACCTACAAAACGCTCCCAATAGACAGGATATGGAGGGGTGATGTCCCCGGACTGGATCAGGATTTTGATTGGGACAAGGTGTGGGTCAATATCAAACTCGCCTCTCGAAATCCTGACCACCAGCAGATCCATTATAATTTCATACACAGAACCTACCTGACCCCTCGCAAGCTACATTTTATGAAAGTTATCAATGATCCCTCATGCACCCTGTGTACATTAAAAACCATTGGCACTTTCCTCCACATGGTGTGGAAGTGCCCCCCCGTTGCTCGATTTTGGCAGGGTGTGGCCGCTGAGCTGACGGCACTCATATCAGAGACAGTGCCTGTGACCATACCAGTGTTATTATTAAATGATCTTTCAGCACTTCGAGTCCCTGAATGTCAGAAACGTGTAATGTTGGCAGGTAGGGAGGGTTGATGTAACGGTATGTTCAGTGGCTGTACCTCATTATTTGTTTTGTGTTTGAATGAAAATAAAATAAAAATTTGATTAAAAAAAAAAACTTCCTTTAATTTACTCGCCCGTTAACTACAAATCAAATAAAATTGATGTTACTGTGGGCAGTTTTCCAAAACATACAATATTTAGGATGATTTTTTTCATTCATAATCTGGTGTATTCAGGCTGGCGTGAAGGCTATCCCATAATGCCTCTGGCCAGGGTAATCACCAGCATGGAGGCATATAAGTGCTAACTGCATTTAAGGAAGCTCCAAGCCTCAAGCTTTGCTGCCATACAGCAACATTATCAGTGAATATACACAGAATTTTTATAATCTTTTTCATGTTTGCTAATTGTTTGTCTTCCTGTAACCCTAACCTCAGATGTTGGAGGTTCCTTGAATGCACCAAAAAAAATTTTCTCAAGATTGTTGCCTGTTTATTTTCAGCAAACTGAAACTGATTGCTGCCTGAAAGTAAAAAATAACTTGTGCTATGCTTAGTAAAAGGTAATGGCAGAGTATACACAGTTTGTTGCTAACAGTCTAAAGCATGCAAAACAACCCGTGTGGTCTCACCTGTAGTAGCTGATGCATTTGCTGCCGAACTTAATAATTCACCCACCACTGTTTTCACTTCAAGGTAGTACTTTGTCCCAGACTTCAAGCCAGTAAACACATAGCTGGTTGTGTTAAAAACATTCCCAGACATTGTGTAGCCCCAGAAGCTGGAGTTAATACTGACAGTGTAACTGACTGATGCTGAGTTGGCAGGGGGCTTCCACTCGAGCGTGAGGTTATCTTTATGTCGGAAAGTGACCTTGGCATCAGTAGGCGGAAGCGGCACTGGAAAAATGGGGAAAAGAAAGAAAATGAAGCAGTAATTTATAAGATAATTTTGGAGTCAAAGGTATTGACAGTCAGGTCAGCAACAGCCATTTAATGTATTTACATTCTGTGAGTAACTCTCTATATGATAGATATCTGCCTCACTGTTTACGGTCTACTCTCCTAATATCAGAGCTGTAATGCTAACTGCACATTTCTCACTGCTGCTTCATATTAAAAGCATTCAACTGGCAAAACACTTGCTGGCTTTTATTGGCAAGTCACATGAAATTATATTTGTCACAGAGGTCAGTGTAGACATTGTTCCTCCTTGCCGTTACCATGGTAACCACAGGTGTCACCGAATCGCACCAGGACCGAAATGTTATGGACTCACATGTGAATTTTGAGCTCTCCTCCGGTGGGCCTTGGAAAGTTCCACTGACAGCGCTGACGATCACTTTGTAGTTGCCTCCAGTCTTCAGATTCGTAAAATGCTTCTTAGGTTCTGTTAGGCTGGTTGAATTATCTACAACTTTGCCTTCCAGCTGCAGCGTGATGGTGAAAGTTGAATAATTACCCGTAGGAGGATCCCATTTAGCAGTGAGGGTGTTCTCTGTTGTTTCCAACATCAGGTTTGAAATTGGTCCAGGAGCTATGTAGGAGTCACAAAGTCAGAATAATGACTTTAATTAATGTTCTGTTCCTGTGAATGATTGATTCCTCTACTGACCAACAACAACAACAAAACCATTAGCTCAGAGTTACCGGTGTAGCTGACAACGGTCACTTTGTCTCCCTCCAGAGTGTAATTGGCCACTGCTGCCACGCTGAGGGTTATCTTGGTGCCCATCGGCAGCCCAGTTACTCTCACTTTGGTTTGGTTCACCACTTCATTAAACAATGTGCTGTTAGGAGGAGAAACAGTTATGTCATTTAAGAGGCAACTGTGCATGTCAACAATTAAAAGATAATACCAGTGCATTACAACTTGGGTCTCATTTTCATTGTCTGGGACAATTCAAAAGTCAGACGGGGTGAGAAACACAAGCAATAAGATGACTGTGCAGATTTTAAATAAACTCAGAGTTAGACAGATTTATTTGGAAGTATGGAGTATTCATCACGATTTAGGAAACGACTCCCTGGATCAACTCTACAATCAATGTTTCAGTTGCACTCACTCTCAGCTTTTCCTACAAAGGAAATAGTTTAGATAATGCTAACATGCTGATCTATAGCAGGTATAATGCTTACCATGTTCACAATCTTATCTTAGCTTGGTAGTGTGCTATCATTCAACCGGTGGAGCTTAGGCTGATGGGAATGACATCAGTCTTGCAGGCCTTTCATAAACCAAAGTACTGAACAAATTCATATTTTGAAATTTTGATGGTGCCAGATTTAAATTTAAGGGATCACCACCTTTGTTAGAGTTTCTCCTGGTGTGGGTTGAATGTCTGTACCTAGTGTCAAGACAATCCATCTTGTAGTTAAGATGTTTCATAAAAACCACAAAATGTGAACCTGAGAGCTCAGTCTCGACCAAAGCTGTGGATGAAGCGGCAGGCAGCAGCGGCACGGCTAAAGACAAACATCACTGTAAATATAACTGATTTCAAATAAGTAAATAAGTTCTGGGCTATCTAGAAGTACATACCCATCACTGTCCTTCATAGCCTTCACTATGAAACCTGTGGCGTTCCCCACAGATAGCTTCCAGGTAAGCAGCAGCGAGTTGTTGGTATTCTCAGACACGCTCAGGTTGGACACTTTCCTGGGCTCTGAAAAAGAGAACAGACGAAAACATCGCTCTGTTTACTGACAAGAACCTAAACTATAATCTAACATGCAACTCTAATTTGCCTCCGCTGATTTGAATTTTATATTATTGAGCAAGAAAATACCAGCTATGAACCTCTTCCTCATTTTAACCTGAATAAGCTTTTGATGTGCTTTGACTGTGTACTTCCTTCTGTATCAAATGCTTCCTTCTGTCTGTAGAGAAAGGCGCATTAGGAGTAACAGGCAGCGATATCCTTCCTCTGAGGCGTTATAATCCTTTTTATTTGTTATATGTAATACAAACTCACTGGTGTATGCTGTGATGTTGGACTCTTCACTCCACTGGGACGTGTCCTCCACTACTGAGATGACGGAGAATGTGTAAGGGCTCCCAGGTATCAAACCGTTGAGCTTACTGCCCTCTGTCGTAGTCTGAATCTGCAAACCCTCAGTACCCTTAATAGTATAGTAATAAAATGTTCCAGCTGGTTTACTCCAGCTCAGGGTGATAGAGGTTTCTGTCACCATGGTGACAGTGAGGTTTTCGACTTTGTTAGGTACTGAAAAAAAGAGAGAGAGATAATCAGGGTTACAAGCAAAGTGTTTGCATTATTACTTTATTCTTCTTTATGATTTTAAAATAATCTGCATTAAACTGGATGATGAAAACAACGTGCATCGTAAATAGGACCTTGGTGATCAGTGTCCTCTTACAGCAGGAAATAAACATATTTTGAGACATGAAGTCTGAATGAAAATCAGTTTAAATTAATCTTTAACTTTTAAAAGGTATGTATAATATTTGTTGTACTATTATCAGCTTAGTTATTGACAGTAATGTAAAAAAAATAAGTTGTTATCTCGTCTGTTTGGTAATTGTCACATTTGGTTGTAGTAGCTAACAAACAATATCATAATATCTGTGTTTGGTCAGGTGGTCTCTGTACTTTGGAAACAACTGACTTTTAAAAAAAAACGATCTAGTGTCCACATCAGGCTAATTATTGATGATTTTGGACACAAAATTATTATTATACTGCGGCGCTAAAGACCCAATTTAAGACTAAAACAGAGTTACAGAGTTAAGACACAGCTATCCAGCTACTTTACTATAACAGCAGGTGTGAGAGTAATCTTTAAGAGCAGCTTTCAAACAATCACATCATTAATCACGTTTGATCTGAGCAGGAACCAATCGCACAAGGATTTAACCTGCATCTTCCACTCTTTAGAAAGGTTTTACTCAGTGATGTGTTGTTCTACAAAAACATGTCGGTTTAATTTCTAAATTGTATTTGTGTGATTTTTCCAAGTATTATCTTAATGTCAGATGTTACAGAAGAAGGCGAACTCACTGGTGTAGAAGGCCCTCTTCTGTGGGTTGAGGTCTCTCTGACACTTAACAGGGAACACCTGGACTGAGTAATAGGCGCCTGCTGTCAGGTTGAAAAGGTCGTAGGTCAGATCAGTCAAATCTTCCGTCATGTTTCTGTCGCCTTTGACCTCTAAACGGTAATGGCTGACGTTGCCGGGGGCGGACAGCCATGTGAGGACGGCACTCTCGGAAGTCACGTTGGTCACGTTGGTTTCGCCTACGAAATGATCTGGAAAAAATATGAAGAACTTTAATTGGAACCAGAGACCAGAGAAGTCCACAGAGGTACAAACACAGGAATAGAGAGTGTCGTATAATTCTGAATAAACCAGGGTGCATATCAGACTGTATGTGTGTGGACACCTTTACTTCCACACTTGGAAATCTTCTGTTGTGAGCATTTATACATTTATTTTATTTATCTGTTGGCCGGTCACATTTTGATTGTTATTATTATTTATCTTTACTAAGTTTCTTTTGTCTTTTCTTTTAAAAGAATCTGATTGTTCAGCTAGATGTATTTAGGCTTCTTTTTGTTGAGACCTGTGGCTGCACGGATCCACACAATAGATTGCAGTGGAAGTTGGTGTCTGTTTTGACTTGTATCTTGATATAAGGAGGATATAATATGTTCTATCAATAAATAAATGAGTTATAGAAATCGTATTTAAACAATACAGAGACAAACACACCAGAAGATTATTTATCTAGAAAAATTAAAAGAAAATAATTTAAAACATTTCCTTCCTTCCCACTTCCCTTAAATATAATAAAGTTTCCATATGATCATCAAAACTAGTTCATTATAATCACAGAAAAATGCATAATTCAGCTAAATAAATGTGTATGTATACACAAAACAAGATCTTAATATGTGTGCTGAAACTGTAACTATGTATGGTTGTTTTCTTTTTGTATTGTGATGTACTGTTTATGGACATCATTAGAAAGAAAGAGTAGATTTCATTTAATGTTCGGGTACAGTGCTGAGTACAGTTGCCCCGCACAAGTCATGTATAATAGTTATTCTTGGACTGTGTGAGATCTAAAATGAAACAAGAATCAGGCTTTACGTGAGTCTTACCCTCATAACATATAAAAGGCAGAAGCTCCCAGCAGTACTTTTCAACCCAAGTCCCAAATCTGAGCATGGCCACGCAAGAGTCTTCAATATAGTTCTCATCAGGGTCGGGGACATCCGGGAACAGCATAGGTGATCGCAAGCACTCTGATTCTATTGGTGGTAGCATGGTCGTCATGGGGGTAGTTGTGGTAAATACTGGGGTGGTGGATTCAAAGACTCCAGTAACTTCTGTCACGTTATTGGTTGTGTTTCTGCTCAGTTCAGTGAAACTGGTCTCGTCCTGGGTGTTGGATCCCCACAGTCCAGTAACGTCTGTCACACCATCAGTTCCAGTTCTGCTTGTAAAGGTGGAGTCCCAGAGATCAGTCACATTTTTGGTTGAATTTTGTGTTGTCGTCACCTTTAAGGTGGTGGATTCTGTGTATCTGGTGTAGCTTTGCGTTGTTGTGGTTGGCCTTGCTGGGCAGGTGCAGGAGCAGCTGCAGCAGTCTCTTCTTGGGAAGGATGATTTAAACACGGGCCAACCAGGGTACCAGTTCTGGAAGGTGAGGGGATCCCCGTTGGCCCAGCGAGACCACAACAGGGCGGTGCTGGTGGAGGCGTTGCTGCTGGAGTTACTGGTGGAGTTGATGGTGAAGTTGATGGTGGAGTTGATGGTGGAGTGGATGGTGTTGTGGATGGTGGAGTGGATGGTTGTGGGGTTGTTGGTTGTAGGGTTGATGGTGGAACTAAAGGTGTAGTTGCTGGTGGAGTTGCTGGTAAAGTTGCTTGGGTAGTTGCTGGTGGGGTTGATTGGGTAGTTGCTGGTGGGGTTGATTGGGTAGTTGCTGGTGTAGTAGGCGGTAGAGTAGAAGTTCTTGCGGAGGCCGATCCAGTGGTCAGAGGTGAGTTTCTGAACGATGATTCTGATGTTTTCAGGCGTCAGCGTCACCAGATCTTTGAAACAGATCTGAAAGGACATGAGAGAGTCAATGTTTGACAGTAGTGGTTCCACTCAGGGGTCATTATGAGGTTTGTGGAGTTGTTCAGGTCCTTCAGTCAGTGCTGATGAGGATCTACTATACTTATCCATCAGCTGTTGATAAGTAAATCCAAAGTAAGCGATGTGAAACCAAAGGGGAATAATTACTAGCTCTGAACACAACACCCCCTTTAACTTGACAGCTATATAATTAAACACATGTATGCCGTTAAAAACCACAACCTCTTTTTGAACGTAAAAATTAGGTTCATGTTGTACCTGGCAGTAGCTCCTGGCCTCATCCCAGGTGAGATTCCTGGACTGAGGGTAGTACTGTTGCTTTGCAGCGCTGTGCGTCAGCATCAGAGCTGAGGAGAAACAGAGACGTAGCAGATCTGACAGGTCAGTATTTTGGAGAATAGGAAGCGTTTCTTGGTCAATTTCATTACAAAATTAAGTTACATTGATTAAGTCACTGGTAACCAGTGTTGAACAGTAAGGCATTACTTTCCCCAGTAACAAGTAGTGTAGCTAATTACTTATATATTTTAGTAATATTACTAGTTTCTCTGGCAAAAAATAATTAGTTACAGTCTTACTTTTGTTGTAAAACCTGATTGATTTGAAATCCAACAATCCAACCACACCCTTTGTAATCCTGGAGGAAATTAGTTTCATGTGAATGTTTCCATCTTCCAAACAAAACAGATATTAATCGATGTAAGTCTGAATTTCAGGGAGGAGGTAATACAGCTAGTAGTGTATCTAATTACTGTTGGCAGGGAGCAATAAGTAATGAGTAATAAATCTAATTTTATAAGTTACTAGCTAACTACTTGCTCAGTTTTTAGTGGCACAGTCATCCCTTGTCTCAGATGAACTGACATTAAAATGAGAGCCACACAGAGCTGCAACTAACGCTCACTTTCATTAATCTAAAAATTATTTTCTTGATTGTTTAGTCAAGTTTAGTTTAAATAAAAAGTAAAATAGTGAAAAAGATTCAAGGTGATGACGTCTTTAAATTGCTTTTGTCCAACTTAGTAACCAAAATCCAAAATATTTCATTTATGACGTAAAAATAAAAAACAATCAATCCTTAAATGCAATAGGTATACAAGTCAGAACAGTATAAATAATAATTACTGCTCATTTTCAGTATATCATTTATTTACCTTTAACATTTTAAGTTAGCTCTTGTGAAACGTCAGTCGACATAAAACTGATCAACTTTGATGACTCATTAATCCAGAGGTAATCAATAGACACACATTAGAACATAGTTGGAGAGGATTTTGTGAGTATTTTTTTATTATCATCTTTAGATTTAAAGATAATAGTCTCAGTCTACAAAGGATTCCTGTTGGTCACCAGCATCCAGTTGAAAAATCACTGCAACAAACAGATCAATAAAAATCAGCCAAAGTGCGTCTGACACTTCATGGAGTGAACAATTGATCAAATAAATGACAATCAGATGCAGAATAATGCATAAAAATGCTGCATACTGGCTACAAATGAAAACCATTGAGAAAATAACTCACCCCAACAAATCAAAATAAAGACTTTATCCATGTTGAGATTCCTGCTGACTCAACCACTTCAAAACAAAGTTTTAAACAAGTAGGAAGCGAAGGAAATCCATTCACGCTACATCAAGTTAAAACTGTTAGTCTTACTGCTCATCCAGGCTACAGATGCTTCCAGTGAACCGATCTCTCGGTATGAGAGGCGTTCATAAAACACAAATAAGTGCGTTTGTAGATCAACAGGTAATAAACCGCACATTTGACTGGCAACACAAGGCTCCATTCAACTGGGGACAGAATACCTTTCCAAGCTCCTGGTTTTGCATCCATCATCCAAACATGCAAAGTGAACCAGGGGGAGGGGGTTTAAAGAGTAACAGTGCTGAGACACAAAGACAGAAAACAGAGTTCTATGTTACAAGTAGTTTATTTAGTATCAAAGCTTTGGAAAACAAAATGCAAATTATAACATAAAAAGCCATGAAAAAAAATGACAATGAAAAAATAGAAAGATAAACCTCTTATACAAAACTAAGTTCCCAAAATAATCTATAAAGTTACAGAAGTAAAACAAAGAAATGCCTTTAATATACTTTTTTTTTTGGCAGTGTAAAAAAAGTGGTTTTGCCTCAACAGTGATTGGTCACATCAAACTGAAGTGCTAATCGACAAGTTGCATGGTCTGTGGGTCGGGGGCAGAAACGGAAACGTAAAGTCAGATCACAGCGGGGGCATCCTGACAGACGGGCAGTAGTTCTCAGTGTCACCTCCGACCCAAAACAAGTCTGGAGTCTCTTTTAAAAAGGCGTTTTCCTTGTTTGTTGTTTGTGTATTTCCTGTATGGTCATGTCATAATTCCACTTACTCTTCCTCCAACACTTTCTTCCGTATACAAGACGGTACAAATACTAAAAGGTGATTAGGTTTTGGGGTGATCCAGCCAGCCCTTCAACTACCAAATCTACTGTTCATTTTCACAAAAAAAAAAATCATGACAAAACATGTTCCCTGCGAGCAGAATCATCACCATTTAATCGGAGGCGATCCTGATGAGAAAATAACTGATCCTTGGAGAGAGATTAAAAAAAATGTTGAAAATCTATTTACAGCTTTGTGTGATGAAATATATATTTATATAAAAATGGAGTAAAAAAAGAAAGAAAGCGTCCCACCGACAGAATTACATTCAGTCGAGCCTGTACGTTCTTTAATCTGGCCTTATATTTCTTCCTCTACATCTTTATATCAGCTTGAACTAACCGGAGCTGGAATGAAACATTTGGGCCGAGTGAACTTCCTCACACAGACGAGAGTTTGACTGGATGTAAAAGGTTTGAACTCACGTGGGCTGTGGTACAGTAATACAGCTATGATAATGGAGGTAAACATCCATTCAAGTTTTACAAACACTTTCTCAAGCGAACGGCAGTCACTAGTAAAAAGATTATAAAATTTGGCCAAATGCTTTTTTTTTTTTTGAAACCCTAATTAACTTCATAATTACTATTTGACAAAACATACAAATGTTATTTTAAAAAAAAAAGAAAAGAAAATAAACTGGAGTACAAACAATGTATTATAAATGAAATGACAAATTTAAAAAATGTAATCATTAAAATTCAAATGAGTTTCCCTGCCACAATTAACAGAGTCCCACCCTCATATCCTGTTGAGGAGGAGGAGGAGGCAGACCTGTTTACAGTATGAACTGCCCTCCTCTGCATAATCTTTATTTGCATATTTATATATTTTATATATCATAAAGATATAGTACAGTGAATGATCAGGCAGAACAGTTATTGAATCAAGTTTTCTGGCTTACTGAGGCAGGATTGTGATTTAGGGGTTTCAATGTCGAATAAAAACTTGAAATAAACCCGATTGCTTGGAGGGACAAAGACATGTCGTTCGTTTCATTATCAGAGCAAAGAGCCTCAGTCACTGTCACTCCTCTCTCCTCTCTGCAGGAGTTTCTTCCCGGTGGAAGGCAGCGCGATCTCCTGTTTGACTGAGACCTTTGTCTTGTTTTTGCTGTGGAGAGAAAACAGGACAAACTCAGAAATAAGGACAAGTGGGACAGACTTCGTTTATTTGAGTTGACACAATACTTAAATTTACAATGCACTTCAGAGTGTGTGTGTGTGTGTGTGTGTGCGCACCAAATGACCTGTTGTAGGTATTTTTCTTTCAGTGTTGTACAACTGCAACACTCAAAGACAATCACAGAAGACGTGATCCACTGTTTTCTTTATTCCAGAGAACTCAGTAAATAATAATAACTCACTCGATATAACAGTCTACATTATACCATATATAGTATGATCTGAGTTATGTGGAGTGATTATGTGGACCTCTAGTGGCAGATCCATACGGACTACAGCAGTTCACAACAACGAGGGTTGAATTTAAAACTCAATCATGCTGAGATATTCTTCACGAGTTAAATTAGACGTTTAGTCCACTGAAAGTGATTCAGGCTGCTTTAATACAAAGTTACTGGACGCTCCACTTACCTCTCTTTGTTGAGCAACTTTAGTCCATCATTTATTTTCTTCAACATGTCGTAGTTCTCCCGACCATGGACCTGCACGAGAGATGGAATTAATCAAACAGCATTTTTGTAAAGACGTCCAGCTCCACAACAGTACGTATCTTTACTTACATGTAGAATAAACACCTCCTTGTCCTCCTCCTCTGCACTGGAGGCCGACTTGGCCTTCTTCGCAGAAGTGGTGTCGGGAGTCGGGGCGCTCTCTAAAGAAACAAAAATGATGTTAATGAGGTGGAGGGAACAGGGAGGGAAACGGAAATCTTTGGCGATGCAACAAGAACATACTGCGTTTTTTGATTTGTTTGGTTCCGTTCAGCAATTTATCGGTGTTGGCCTCCTCAGTCTTTCGGTCCCTGCCTGGACAGGCGCAGACACGAACCTCAAAGCACCTCCGGCCCAAAACGAGTCCACTGGGAGGAAGAACAGAGGGGTCAAAACGCTTTCCTACGCTGCACAAACTTCTAGGAACGATAATGCTCCTGATAACACGCACAGAAGATACATCAAAATATCTGGTAGAAGACTTGAGACTTACTCTGGAGTCTCGAGGGTCAGGATTGTGAGGATCGGTCTTCGATTCATGCCCCCCATGCACGAACTGTTACACATGAAGCTCAAGAGAACTGTAGTCATCTCGGAGCCCAACTGAAAGAGGAAAAGAAACACTTTCTATTCACTGCTGTTTAAAGTGTCTACAACTAGAGAGGGAAAATGTTTCTTCACCAGTCAGTCGTAATAAAAGATCGTACTATGTTCATTCAGAAAATCCACTGAAAACTAAGCCGCTCATCGACTGTTCTGTGTGTCTGTCTGCGTTTTTATTTTTGCTGCATGTTCTTTTTGTACATCGATTTGTATTTTAAGGCTGAAACATAACATCAACGTGACACACCGTTCGTTCGTTCATATACTCACGTAGAAAACGCTCGAAGGTCACATTAAAAAGTGTGAATGGGTAAAAAAATAACTGCTGTAGGAGAGAGTAGACAGTTGCCCCTCAGACAGATCGAGTGGGGCAGTTGTACCTGTGGAGGCTCGTACGGGACAGTCACACTCTGCCTCTTTGTGTGCGGATCTTCAAAATACTGAGCTCTCTGGCTGCCCTCCACTCTGATCAGATGGCTGCGATGTTCAGCAGCTGCAGGGAAAACAAAGAAGTCACCTCAGATGACTATGACGCTCACAACCGGATTCTTCCACTGTTCATAAACGGAGATTTTTGTAACTGAAACGTTTTCCTTACCGTCCTCATTCTGGTGGTGGGGACATCTGCGGACCACTTCGGCCACGTGCTCCGTCTTCTTATAGACCGCCGTGGCTCTGATGACGGCGTCCGCAGGAAGCTCCTTGCTCACCAGCACTTCAACAGGGCTGGTCTTTGCTAGCTGGCAATAGAGCTTGTTGAGCTGCTCCGAAAACTGAGAGGAAGCAGAGGCAAAGGAGCCGGAGCTGTGAGTTCATGTGTGAAGACTCAAACGCTGATCTGAGATCTGTCTCAGGCAAAAATGAGCGCTCTATTATAAAGACTAAAAGTACTATTCTTAAACTCTCTCTTCTCTAAAGAACCAGAGCTACATGTTGAGTTCTCCAAATAAGAAAGGCCAGATTTATCAAATTAGAAGAGTTTAGTTTTTACCTTGCTTCCGTCCGTTTTTAACCCTTTGTGTGCTGGAGGAAGACAGCGCAGGAACATGTCCCGTCATGTCAGAGCGGAGCTTTACAACCAGACTGCACCAGAGGACAAGTCGCAGGGGGGGGCGGGGGTTTCAGGGCAGACCACCCTAACCTCAACTAAACTGGCCAACTGCAGCACGCTGCTGGGCGAGTCACCGTGGAAACATTAATGCGACTGGCTCTTCAAACTCAGTGACTGACTCCAGACCTTAAACTTTTAGCGAATCGTCAGAATGAATGAGACTCCACCAGAAAGCAGAGAGAAACTAAAGAACTGTTTTCTAAACGTGGCCACAAGGTAAGATATTTAATTTAATGTTTGTTGAAGACGTTTTCTGTGTTTTACTCACTTTAAGTCATTTCGTGGACAATTAAAAACTTAAGAGCTTTTTATTTGCAAACCTTTAAAAAATGTGAAACGTCTGTGTAGTTAAGTTGAATTTAATTTCTTGAATTAATAAAATACATAACAGGAGGAATGAAATGAAAATTACACTGCGGATGTGAGAAACTTGTTCTTAGTTGGTGGAAATCCCTTTTGTTCTCTGGCTGAAGAGCTCAAACAGCAAACGCCTGCCTCATTAACATGTTCGGTTGCAGGATAATCGGCTACAAGTCCAATTAAACTTTGCACTTTAGTATTAAAGTGTAAATCTGTCAAAATCAGACACTATGTGCAGTTGGCACTCATTTGTCTCTGATACGATAACAGAAACACGTTTTCTGGTAAAAAATACTGCTGGAAATAATTTAAAAACAGAATAAATAAATAAAACAAATCAACAAGAAGGTGAACTTCTACATTTTGAACCCGGTATAACTCACAGTGGAGGTGACGGACTTTGCCGTGCCCGACTTCTGAAAGCGAAGCTGGAAGCCGTATTCCCCCGGGTAGTCGGATGTAACCGGGACGGTGGGGGCCGGCGGGGTGACGCCATCTCTGGAGGGCACTTCTAGAGGCAGCTCGAACAGATTCTCATCAAATCTCTCCGCCAGCACCTGGTCATTCATAAGCTGTGAGATCAGAGAGACAAGAGAGTTTAATATAATTCCTGTGCAGAAATCTAAATGTTTTCTGATCAATAGTCATTACATACCAGCGCTTCCATGTTTCCGTTCGTCCCCCATGTTTCAGCACCGGTCACCGTAGGAATGGTAGAGATGGAGGGAGTGACTCTACGAAAACAGACACTTGACTTGTTCACTTGTTCTTCTGCAGTAAACTGAATCGTTTTAACCGTTAAAAAACACAACTCACACGCTGTCCCACAGCTCGATGAAGGAGGACTGGCTCAGCTGCAGCGGCTGGCTCAGCGACAAGCTCTCGAAGTCTTGCTCTTCCATCATTAATTACAAATGAGGAAGAGCCGAGTTGCTGCGTGCGGAGGGGAACAACAGGAAGAGAGAGTTAGTGTTAGACTGACGAGGTATCTAATGAGTTCAATTAGTTATACAATTAAAGCTTCAGTAGGGAACTCATTTAAAATAAATCCACCGGGTCTGAGGAAAAGCAGTCAGTCAATAAAGATCTGTGGAGTCTCGTTCCCAGGTCGTTAAATACTGATGCTGGGAATGAGACAACAATCAAAAGCTGCCAACCCAAAGTGTCTTTGTTGACTCTGATTGGTTATTTTCGTGCAGGCCTGGTGGATTTTTACAAATGCCAAAAAGAGCGCCAACACAAGTCAGAGAAAGATAATTATCACAGATGATCGGCTTCATGAACTACTGTCAGGAGATAGTTAAAGTTTCTACAAACGTAAAAAGTGATTTTCACAAAAGGTAAGCTACTGCAGTTGTAATTAGTCCCAAAAAAAATCAGATTTAATTATTTTAGCCTATTTAAAAAAACAGAAAATAGTGAAAACAACAACCACAATCCCCAAAAGTGATTCTCTAAATAGTTTTTGTTCAAAGACATCCAAACATATCTGACTTATGACATAAAAACAAAAAAATAAGTATATACACAGATTTAAGAGGCTGGGAAAAGGGAAGGACACATTTCTGGATCGATAAATTGCCAATTAGTCGATAATCAAACTTTGTTTGGTGCCAAACAGGAAATGTGGTGAGGCCTTGTTCTCCCTCCCTGAGAACTGCTGACTAATGTTGGCATTATTCTGTGTAACCACTGCTTCATAAAACACACAACACACTCATAAAGACAGCCGTGTTTCTCTCTCACATGAAGGTTTTAGATTAAACTCATTTCACTTCACAAGCAGCCAAACACAAACACCACCATTCATCCTGCTAACGTCAGCTAGCCTCCACTTTCGGTCAGGCTGGAGGCCTAACTACACAAACTGAATGAAGCTAGACAGCTTCAACCGACCACCGAGGCTGCACTTTGACTACAACTCGATACATATAACTCAACTATAAGCCAAAGTGCGAGCGGAAGCGAACAAACATCGACGGTGCAACAAGGTTTGCGGCCACACGACGTTAGCTCCGCGTTAGCACACCTAGCTGAAAACGTTAGCGCTACGTCCGACTAACGGTCGACAAACCGCCGTTAAACGTCTCGTTAACGGACAAATTCGAGGCTCTGTTGCCCCGACGACGGAGGGGAACGTTCGAGCACACTGCTAACCTTCTGTACGCGTGCTGCTGTCCGACAGCGGGGCGTCACGGTTCAGGGCTCGGGAGGAAACACAGCCGACAAAAAGTCACAATATTTTGAGACGTCTCGGAGCACGTTGTTTGGGGATTGTTGGGGATTCCCACTGAGACGAGGAGTGGGGGAAAGGGCGCCGTATACCCGAGGAACCGTCCAATCACAGAGCGTCCTGCTCCTGACGTACGAAAACGCAACGTCGTGAAACGCCACTGCTGCGTTCAAGGACCGACGTGTAGCTCAAGATAGCTGCTTATTAGTGCATTTATCTCCCTCACAGGTTAAGATTAGTTTATTTAGTGCAGGTTTTATATATATATATCTGTAGCCTGTTTATTTCACTCAAATGTTGCTGTGACAAGTGAATATCCCCATTGTGGGATCAATAAAGTCTA